CGTATAGAAACTCACAAAAAAGCTATAGTTTACTACCTGCATAGCCAGCTAATTTTAATTTATTAATAACAAATTGAATAATTGTTGTATGTGTAAAACTACTGTACAAATATTTTCTTGAAGATTTCAATTATTAGCAACAATTTTTTTTAATTTAAAAAGTTCAAGTACCATTTATTTATAATTGAAATAAAAAAATCCGCAGTAATACCCACACCCGCAGTAATACCCACACTTACCCTATAACAAAATTATTAAAGTTACATTATATAAATGTTATTTCAAATATCGTGTTTTTTTTTTCATAGCAAAAAATTTATGACGAAAAAATTTTTGATTTATCTTTTCAATTCTTAATTTAAAATAGATAAATTTTTTATTACTATTATTTGATTTTTCAATCAATAAAGAATCGGTGACCGTATTGTTGCGATAATTCGATACTTAGTTAACTTTACACTTATTTTTATTTCATCTTTTTTAATTTAGAGGATATTTTCTTTTTTGTAAACACTGAAAAAAAACTTGGCTCAATAGAAATATTCTTAATTTAAGAACAAAATAACTATGAAGAGAATTTTAACGTTTAATTTAAAAATTTCTTGTCTTGTTCATTTTTTTAGATTAAGAAATTCTGTAACTTCAATAAATAATATATTATCTTCGTTAAATACCTATAATGTTATAAAATTAATGCTCTCTTTAGAGCATAAAATTCAACCTATTATTTTATAAAATTCCTTGAATTCTTAATAAAAATTTCATAAAATTTTTTAAGATGTCAGAAATCTTTACAAACTAACAAAAATTTTTTTCTAAATCTCCGCTGAAAAAATTCGATTGCATACAATTTTTTTTCACCAAAATAGTAATTCCACTTACAAAAAAATTCCAATATCGATGACAATGATGATGATTATTTTTTGGTTAATAACCGAGCGAAAGCACGTGATGACAATGCCTGACTAAAGACTTATTTTAAAGATTATTTTTAGTTTAACAACCTTTTATTGAATTTTGGAAATTTTTTTTTTTTGCGAAAAAAAAAATACAGATGATTTTATTAAAGAGAAAAAGTTTTCAACTAGTATAATTATTTTGAAGAATTTTTGAATTGAGTAAAATTTAGTTAAAACAAAAATAATTTCTCGGTTAAAAAAATTTTTTGCTTGATTTAAAAAATATTTTTATACAACAACAAAGTTATTAAAGTTATATTATAGAAATTTAATTTCAAATATCGTGATTTTAATTTATATCATAAAATTAATGACAAAAAAGTTTTTTATTTATCTTTTTAATTCTTAGAATTGAGAAATTTTGATTACTATTATTATGATAATAAAGAATCTTTTGTTTTTGAACAAAAAAAATACTATTAAAAAGTAATCAAACAATAAATTTAACAAACAGTTAATTTGACAATTAAAATTATGTTTTTAAAGTTTTCTTATCAGAAAAAAACTGAAGACAAAAAAAGAGCGATATGTATGAGTGTAATTAATTGAATAATAACAATAATCGTGTAATTAAAAGAAATGATAACCAGGTCTACTAAACTGCGTCGCGGCCTTCGGCGTATCAAAATAAATAACAAAACAATGAATATAACTACGATACACTGTAAAAAATCCGGAGTGAATCGGGAGTGAATTTCACTCCCATTTCACTCCCATCACTCGGAGTTCCGGAGTGAAGTATTTAATCACTCCGCGTAGGGAGTGAATCCAGAGTTTCTATTTGCGGAGTGATTTCAGAGTGATTTCGGAGTGCTTTCGAATTTCACTCCGAAAAACATCCGCGATCGGAGTTTTTACAATAAATAAAATAAGGATGAATTTTCGTTCTACAAAAAAAATTTCAAAATTAATCTTTATATATTTATTTCTTCTGTGCGTGTGTTTGTCACTGAACTCCTTCTAAACGACTGGACCGATTTTAATTAAATTTTTTGTATGTCTTCCGGTGGATTCCAGAATGGTTTAGATTCACAATTCAGTCCACGAGAAAATGTTTATTTAACAGATTCTTTTTTTATAAATTGTTGTTGATTTTGACTACCCACATGCACTTTTCATATATTTTATGAATATCATATATATTAGATATATGAAAAAATTCATATGAGTACTCAAATGAAAGGTCTCGATGAGTATAAAATCATAATGGACTTATATTTATGAAAATGTTAATAATTAACGAATGATGATGTATTTTGCTAACTAATGATGAGCATCCACATGCATTTTTGATATATTTTTCATATATAGATATATATAATATATATAAATATATAAAATATATGAAAAATTGATGTGGGTACTCAAATGAAAGGTCTTGACGAGTGTAACATCGGGATGAGTTTATATCTTTAAAAATATCATTAGTTGACAAGATACAATGTCATCTCTTAATTATTGAAGTTTTGAAAGATATAAGCTCATCCTGATGTTACACTTATTGAGTTCTTTCATTTGAGTACCCACATGACATTTTTTATATATTTTATTTATATGTTAGTTGTAAAATATATATAAATATATAAAATATATCAAATATGTGGGTACTCAAATGAAAGCTCTTGATAAGCATAAAATCAAAATGGGCTTATATTTACGAAAATGTTAATTATTGAAGAATGCCCATTGCATATTGTTAACTAATGATGTTTTTAACTATACAAGCTCATTCCTAAAATTTCTTAATTTAAGACGTGTGTACATGAGAACGTCCGTCGGGTCCGCTAGTATGTATATATATTATTTTTTTTGAAAATTTTTAATTATAATTAATTTATAAAAAAAAAAATTAATAAAAACATTATAATAATGATTAAAATGAAATATTATGAAAAATAATAAATTATATTTTTAATAATTAAATATAAAAAAGGTTTATAAAAATATTTTCTTCACAAAAATTTATTTATTTCTAAATTCATTTATTTTGGGAGTGAATGTGGAGTGAATTTTATTATTAATAAAAATTAACTCCTTCTCGGAGTAAATATCACTCCCGCTGGGAGTAAATCAATTAAAAATCATTCACTCCTTATTCACTCCACGTTCACTCCGCAAATTTTTTACAGTGTAAAGTTACTTTTTTTTGTTTATAGATTTCAGTTATTATTCATGTCTATAAGGTATCTGATCGAAAGAGTAAATAATATTAATATCTACGCAAAATACTAGCGGTGACACGCGTTAATATCCTTCATAAAATATCCCCGCGATAAAATATCCCCAGACAAAATATTAACGCACGTAATCATACCAAAAATAGTTCATAATAATAATAGAAACTAGTTTAATTTTTTCCCACTTCCAATTTTTTCCAGTAGCCATGTAGTTGAGGCAAGTATATAAACCGAAAGTGAAGGCACATACGCAGTCAACTTCTGTAATTTGAAGTATCAAGTTATAAAAAGTAAATAATAATCAAAAAATGGCAAAAAGCTGCAGTTCAATGTTGCTGCTGGTTTGCTTGACTTTTTTGGTGATCGTCTCTTCTCCAAAAAATGAAGTTCAAGCTGACGTGTCAATTGGAAGCTGCGTTTGGGGGGGAGTTAATTACACCAGCGACTGTAACGGAGAGTGCAAACGCCGCAGATACAGAGGAGGACACTGCGGAAGCTTCTTGAACAACATTTGCTGGTGTGAACAATAATTTTTTAAGCACCATCCTGATTGATCAACGCGTCTCAAATATTGCTTCTTATTGTTTTTTTTTGGGCAACCAGTCGTTAAAAATGGAATCAGCAATTCATCGATAATTTACAAAATATTCAATTTATGAATAAATTATTATAAAATGTTTAACTATATCATTGGAATATAAATTAATAATACAATTGACACGTGTGCTGTTTATTTACGTTGATCTTTTTTCTATGAATTTATTGTTGTATTTTTTTATCCAACTTGTATGTTGTGATATCAATAAAAAAATTTTCAGATCTATGAATATTAAATTATTAATCTTTTTTCCCCAATTTAGCTTCATCAATATTTATAATTAAATGTACAAATCAGTCGAATGCCTACTATCAAATGTTAAAAATAATTATTTCTTTTTATAAATCGAATTTATATATTAATATAAATTTATCATTTGTATCTTATCGTCTGTAACTTATTGTTAAATTTTCTGAATTTTATTTAGAATAAAAAGCAGACGGAAAAAGTTGATTTTATTAAAAACAAAAAATTGAATAATTTTGGATTTGAGTAAAATTTAATTAAAACAAAAACAATTTCTCGGTTAAAAAATTCTTGGTTGATTTAAAATGATCTAACGCTTAAAAATAATATTTTTTTATCAGCTTTTTTTAACAGCTAAAAAAAAAAATTTATTGACAAAAAACTATTTTGATCCTAGGGTAAGTGTGGGTATTACTGCGGTTTTTTCTGTAGGTTTTACTTCAGAAGCATTTTCTTTGAATTTTTCAAAAATAACAATAATTTTTTTTTTTTAATCCAAAGTTTGACTCATTATTGACTCAAAAAAAATCAAGAGTGCGATAAACTAATATTTTGTTTAAATAATAAGCATTTCAAAAAAAAGTCATATGCATGTATTACTGAGGGTATAAAAGGAGCTTGTCTCTATTACTGCGTGCCAATTACTGCGGATGACCCTATTACTGCGTGTATATTACTGCGGATGAAATTCAATGATAAGCAATTTCGGGATCATATAAGATATTAATAAAATACGTTTGAAAGATAATTATTCGTTTAATAAAATGACTTGATTAGAAAAACGTATTTCTGAAATCATTTGAATTCATATCAATAAATATGATAATTTAACGCAGTGTGTCTAAATTAATAATAATAACCGGAATAGAGATGTATAACATAACAAGCAAGATCTTTATAGTAATCAAAAAAATTAACTTGATCGAAGAAACACAAATCTTGATTGAAAAAAATCAATTTGAATTTTTTTATATCAATCAGAAAAATTTTTGAATAAAGTTACATTCACTTAATTTGATGGAAATTTCTTGATTTGAAAGTTTTTTTGCTTAATTTAACACAACAAATTCTTTATTATAATTATCGCTTGTATTTTTCATCAACTTTGATTTATTGGTTTTATTTTTTATCAATTTTCTGTTTATAATTTATTTTAAAGATTACTTATTTTCAACTAAGAACAATTTAAAGGTAAAACTTAAGATGTCAATTGACAGGCAATATTTTCTTTTTAGGTTACAATATATGCATTTTACACCCGCAGTAATTGGTACAAATGCATACAAATAGAGGTGCTTCTATTACTGCGGATTATTGAAAATATTCGCAGTAATACAAACATATTCTGTTTATTGGTACCTATTACTGCGTCCTTAAATAAACAATATTAATTGATCAAAATTCAATTTTTAATACATGACTGATATTAAAGAAGGGTTATCTTTCTTTTATATGCAAAAAATATTAAGTTTGAACCATTTTATGTAAAGAAAAAGATCTTTTAGTATCAACTCTTTTCGTATAGAAACTCACAAAAAAGCTATAGTTTACTACCTGCATAGCCAGCTAATTTTAATTTATTAATAACAAATTGAATAATTGTTGTATGTGTAAAACTACTGTACAAATATTTTCTTGAAGATTTCAATTATTAGCAACAATTTTTTTTAATTTAAAAAGTTCAAGTACCATTTATTTATAATTGAAATAAAAAAATCCGCAGTAATACCCACACCCGCAGTAATACCCACACTTACCCTATAACAAAATTATTAAAGTTACATTATATAAATATTATTTCAAATATCGTGATTTTTTTTTCATAGCAAAAAATTTATGACGAAAAAATTTTTGATTTATATTTTCAATTCTTAATTTAAAATAGATAAATTTTTTATTACTATTATTTGATTTTTCAATCAATAAAGAATCGGTGACCGTATTGTTGCGATAATTCGATACTTAGTTAACTTTACACTTATTTTTATTTCATCTTTTTTAATTTAGAGGATATTTTCTTTTTTGTAAACACTGAAAAAAAACTTGACTCAATAGAAATATTCTTAATTTAAGAACAAAATAACTATTGTTACGTTCCCAAAAATAGGGTATATTAATTAAAATTATTTAAGTCCAGATTTTGACCTCATTAGGATGTCAATAGACTCCAGGTGGGTCGTGTCAATGATTTATCCACGAAGTACTTTTAAACGATATAAATTTATAAATTTTGAAATATAACTTTAAAATAACCTGCTTTAGGTAGGTGATTTGGAATGCCAAAACGCTGACTAGCGCTTCGGCGATTTCACCAGGGTGGAAAACAGCTAATAAAAGCGCTTACACCCTGGGGGATAAGGTTTTAATAACTATTCATATTAATTGATTAACAACTAATAAGATTTATTCAAAAAGGATAAGGCAGGTTCAGCCTCGGACCAGCAGAGATTGCTCCTCTGCTAAGTCCAAGGACTGACTGCTTCAGAAGAAGTCTGAAGACAGAATGTATCGTTAAATAATAATTACAAAGAGTTTATATAATAAGATTTTAGCGACGTTGCATCTCAGGTTACCCTATGAGAACATCAACGCAGTCCAAAACCCACAACGTAGACTGTTTAGTCTACTGTGCTGCGTTGACGTTCTAGAAATTTGTTATCTCGAGGTATTTCCGTTACGAGATACCTCGAGTAACGATTAATTAATTAAAATAATGATTTATAAATTTTTAAAATAAATTTATAAAATTTTTAATAAATTTAAAATTTACAAGAACGTAACACTATTAAAAGAATTTTAACGTTTAATTTAAAAATTTCTTGTCTTGTTCATTTTTTTAGATTAAGAAATTCTGTAACTTCAATAAATAATATATTATCTTCGTAAATACCTATAATGTTATAAAATTAATGCTCTTTTTAGAGCATAAAATTCAACCTATTATTTTATAAAATTCCTTGAATTTTTAATAAAAATTTCATAAAATTTTTTAAGATGTCAGAAATCTTTACAAACTAACAAAAATTTTTTTCTAAATCTCCGCTGAAAAAATTCGATTGCATACAATTTTTTTTCACCAAAATAGTAATTCCACTTACAAAAAAATTCCAATATCGATGACAATGCTGATGATTATTTTTTGGTTAATAACCGAGCGAAAGCACGTGATGACAATGCCTGACTAAAGACTTATTTTAAAGATTATTTTTAGTTTAACAACTTTTTATTGAATTTTGTAAATTTTTTTTTTGCGAAAAAAAAAATACAGATGATTTTATTAAAGAGAAAAAATTTTCAACTAGTATAATTATTTTGAAGAATTTTTGAATTGAGTAAAATTTAGTTAAAACAAAAATAATTTCTCGGTTAAAAAAATTTTTTGCTTGATCTAAAAAATATTTTTATACCACAACAAAGTTATTAAAGTTATATTATAGAAATTTAATTTCAAATATCGTGATTTTAATTTATATCATAAAATTAAAGACAAAAAAGTTTTTTATTTATCTTTTTAATTCTTAGAATTGAGAAATTTTGATTACTATTATTATGATAATAAAGAATCTTTTGTTTTTGAACAAAAAACAATACTATTAAAAAGTAATCAAATAATAAATTTAACAAACGGTTCATTTGAAAATTAAAATAATGTTTTTAAAGTTTTCTTATCAGAAAAAAACTGAAGACAAAAAAAGAGCGATATGTATGAGTGTAATTAATTGAATAATAACAATAATCGTGTAATTTAAAGAAATGAAAACCAGGTCTACTAAACTGCGTCGCGGCCTTCGGCGTATCCCTACAATAAAAATACATGACAGTTTGAAGTTAGTCAATAGTCGAAAAAATGAGACCTGATTCCTTATTGGTAGAATATAAACCCTCCTCAGTTACTATTGGTCAATCTCCTGGTACGTGAACATATCAATATATCGATATAAATCGAACAGGATAAATTCAATCGAGAATTTCGATAGGGGGCGCGCGAATGCGCGCCGTTAAAAATTCTAGTCAAAATAAATAACAAAACAATGAATATAACTACGATAAAGTTACTTTTTTTCGTTTATAGATTTCAGTTATTATTCATGTCTATGCGGTATCTGATCGAAAGAGTGAATAATATTAATATCTACGCAAAATACCAGCGGTGACACGCGTTAATATCCTTCATAAAATATCCCCGCGATAAAATATCCCCAGACAAAATATCAACGCACGTAGTCATACCAAAAATAGTTCATAATAATAATAGAAACTAGTTTAATTTTTTCCCACTTCCAATTTTTTCCAGTAGCCATGTTGTTGAGGCAAGTATATAAACCGAAAGTGAAGGCACATACGCAGTAAACTTCTGTAATTTGAAGTATCAAGTTATAAAAAGTAAATAATAATTAAAAAATGGCAAAAAGCTGCAGTTCAATGTTGCTGCTGGTCTGCTTGACTTTTTTGGTGATCGTCTCTTCTCCAAAAAATGAAGTTCAAGCTGACGCGTTAATTGGACGCTACTATGGGAAGGACAAAGAATTCATCACAGACTGTGACGAAGAGTGCAAACAGTTCGGATACAGACGAGGACACTGGGAAAGCTTCTTGAACGTCAAATGCTGGTGTGTACCAAAATCTTTTAAGCAACATCCTGATTGATCAACGCGTCTCAAATATTGCTTCTTATTGTTTTTTTTTTGGGCAACCAATCGTTAAAAATGGAATCAGCAATTCATCGATAATTTACAAAATATTCAATTTATGAATAAATTATTATAAAATGTTTAACTATATCATTGGAATATAAATTAATAATACAATTGACACGTGTGCTGTTTATTTACGTTGATCTTTTTTCTATGAATTTATTGTTGTATTTTTTTATCCAACTTGTATGTTGTGATATCAATAAAAAAATTTTCAGATCTATGAATATTAAATTATTAATCTTTTTTCCCCAATTTAGCTTCATCAATATTTATAATTAAATGTACAAATCAGTCGAATGACTACTACCAAACGTTAAAAATAATTATTTCTTTTTATAAATCGAATTTATATATGAATATAAATTTATCATTTGTATTTTATCGTCTGTAACTTATTATTAAATTTTCTGAATTTTATTTAGAATAAAAAGCAGACGGAAAAAGTTGATTTTATTAAAAACAAAAAATTGAAGAATTTTGGATTTGAGTAAAATTTAATTAAAACAAAAACAATTTCTCGGTTAAAAAATTCTTGGTTGATTTAAAATGATCTAACGCTTAAAAATAATATTTTTTTATCAGCTTAATTTTTTCTCATAAAAAAAAAAAATTTGACAAAAAACTATTTTGATCCTATAACAAAATTATTAAAGTTACATTATATAAATGTTATTTCAAATATCGTGTTTTTTTTTTCATAGCAAAAAATTTATGACGAAAAAATTTTTGATTTATCTTTTCAATTCTTAATTTAAAATAGATAAATTTTTTATTACTATTATTTGATTTTTGAATCAATAAGGAATCGGTGACCGTATTGTTGCGATAATTCGATACTTAGTTAACTTTACACTTATTTTTATTTCATCTTTTTTAATTTAGAGGATATTTTCTTTTTTGTAAACACTGATAAAAAACTTGACTCAATAGAAATATTCTTAATTTAAGAACAAAATAACTATTAAGAGAATTTTAACGTTTAATTTAAAAATTTCTTGTCTTGTTCATTTTTTTAGATTAAGAAATTCTGTAACTTCAATAAATAATATATTATCTTCGTTAAATACCTATAATGTTATAAAATTAATGCTCTTTTTAGAGCATAAAATTCAACCTATTATTTTATAAAATTCCTTGAATTCTTAATAAAAATTTCATAAAATTTTTTAAGATGTCAGAAATCTTTACAAACTAACAAAAATTTTTTTCTAAATCTCCGCTGAAAAAATTCGATTGCATACAATTTTTTTTCACCAAAATAGTAATTCCACTTACAAAAAAATTCCAATATCGATGACAATGATGATGATTATTTTTTGGTTAATAACCGAGCGAAAGCACGTGATGACAATGCCTGACTAAAGACTTATTTTAAAGATTATTTTTAGTTTAACAACTTTTTATTGAATTTTGTAAATTTTTTTTTTGCGAAAAAAAAAAATACAGATGATTTTATTAAAGAGAAAAAATTTTCAACTGGTATAATTATTTTGAAGAATTTTTGAATTGAGTAAAATTTAGTTAAAACAAAAATAATTTCTCGGTTAAAAAAATTTTTTGCTTGATTTAAAAAATATTTTTATACCACAACAAAGTTATTAAAGTTATATTATAGAAATTTAATTTTAAATATCGTGATTTTAATTTATATCATAAAATTAATGACAAAAAAGTTTTTTATTTATCTTTTTAATTCTTAGAATAGAGAAATTTTGATTACTATTATTATTATAATAAAGAATCTTTTGTTTTTGAACAAAAAACAATACTATTAAAAAGTAATCAAATAATAAATTTAACGTTTCATTTGACAATTAAAATTATGTTTTTAAAGTTTTGTTATCAGAAAAAAACTGAAGACAAAAAAAGAGCGATATGTATGAGTGTAATTAATTGAATAATAACAATAATCGTGTAATTTAAAGAAATGATAACCAGGTCTACTAAACTGCGTCGCGGCCTTCGGCGTATCAAAATAAATAACAAAACAATGAATATAACTACGATACACTGTAAAAAATCCGGAGTGAATTTCACTCCCATCACTCGGAGTTCCGGAGTGAAGTATTTAATCACTCCGCGTAGGGAGTGAATCCAGAGTTTTTATTTGCGGAGTGATTTCAGAGTGATTTTTGAGTGCTTTCGAATTTCACTCCGAAAAACATCCGCGATCGGAGTTTTTACAATAAATAAAATAAGGATGAATTTTCGTTCTACAAAAAAAATTTCAAAATTAATTATATATTTACTTCTTCTGTGCGTGTGTTTGTCACTGATTTTTATTTAATAATTACTTGATATTTTTAAAGTGATTGCTTCATTATTAAGAAAATAAACTTTTTTCTATTATTATGTGCGTCATTCCCATAATATTATAGGAACCATTCCTATAATATTATAGGAACCATTCCTATAATATTATAGGAACCATTTTCATAATATTATAGGAACCATTCCCATAATATATTGAAGCTATTCCATTATTGTATAGGAACGTTTCCCATAAATTATGGGTATGGTTCCCATAATGAGTATAGGATTAATGCCTATAATGATAATTTTATTATAGGATCCATTCCCATAATTGTTGGAAAGATTCCTATAAATTTCTCTCCGTGAATAGAAATATTCTTAATTTAAGAACAAAATAACTATTAAGAGAATTTTAACGTTTAATTTAAAAATTTCTTGTCTTGTTCATTTTTTTAGATTAAGAAATTCTGTAACTTCAATAAATAATATATTATCTTCGTTAAATACCTATAATGTTATAAAATTAATGCTCTTTTTAAAGCATAAAATTCAACCTATTATTTTATAAAATTCCTTGAATTCTTAATAAAAATTTCATAAAATTTTTTAAGATGTCTTTACAAACTAACAAAAATTTTTTTCTAAATCTCCGCTGAACAAATTCGATTGCATACAATTTTTTTTCACCAAAATAGTAATTCCACTTACAAAAAAATTCCAATATCGATGACAATGATGATGATTATTTTTTGGTTAATAACCGAGCGAAAGCACGTGATGACAATGCCTGACTAAAGACTTGGCAGTTTCCTTATCATCTCTGTAGGTAAACGCGTGTGTGTGCGTAGCGCGTGCCAGAGGATAGTGGCCCCTCGAGTCGAAAGCAGGGCAAGGGTGGAAGCAGCCTCCGCTTGTTTACAGGCTGGTGTTGGTGGTGTTGGCGTTGGTGATCACCGAAAGGGGAAAAACGAGTACCGGTAGCCGCGGCTGCGCCCCAGCCCCAGAATGCCAAGCTTACCACGCGCAGTTAGCATCAGAGAAACGAAGACAGCCGAGCGGGGTAGCAGCCAAGTAGTGGGGTAGCTGAGACGGAGCTACCTCTTAAGCTTCCAGCGAGAGGGAGCTCGCGAATCGGTAGTATCTCAGGGGGAAGGGGTGATCAACGGCGAATTGTGCGCTTGCTCGGTGCGCCGGCCGGGTTATCTGTGAGGGTCGCCACTCCCGAGCGCGGCGTAGCGCGGGTGCGACCGTCCGAGAGATGTCCAGTGGAAGGATCAAAGTGAAGAGGAGCGACCGGCAGACCGGCGGCGCCAAACAGGCTCCGAATTCATAGGAGAGGACCCTAAAGCGGCCCTAAATAGATTCGGGTCCTGGTTTATCATATTCCTATTACGCACCTTCCTACTTCCGGTCCCACTATTCCCGTTGTTTATCGTTACATTCCCGGTGTTACATTTCCCCGGTTCGCAAGAGCAACGTTGTTCTCTGAACAAGATCAACGTTGTCGTCAAGAGAAATCCGACGACGACACAATCAGCATAGCAGCACCAGCAATAACATCTCCAACAAAACGGTGACTGTTTGCTGCAAACCTTTCTAAAGTGTGTGACATTTTTAAATTGTCATTTGTTAAATTGTGAGACACAAGTGTCCCATGGATTATTGATGACCATGATTAATGGTTGAAGGTGCATGGTGCGTGTTACGTTCTAAAAGTGTTGACTGGCTGCACAGTTTTTGGTGATTCTTCTTAGCAGTTTTTAATAAATAAACAGTAGCTCTGGCAATATTCTTTAAGTGGCCAACTTCCCGCGGGAGGGAAGTGGGCATCCTTCCGAATTCAACGACCATATCTGGAAAAAACTTGCCCCGGAGGAACACAGAGACTATCAGCTGCTACAAAGCTAGTGATCATCCTGGTGATTTGGAAAAAAACGGTGACAGAATTAGACATAGAGATAAAGGAGGAGGAGGAGGAGGAGGAGGAGAATGAACGTTGATGGGATAGTTAGGGACCCGTTTGAGTGCTTTACAGGTGTTTGATTGAGCCAACCTGATCATCAGGGGCTTTTAAACACGTATTTATTACATATTAACAAGGTGTAGAGAGTCTCTGAGCGAGTAACTATGAAGTCTTATGCACCAACGGCGACGACCTCGTGGAGGAGTCTCACGCTTCTAGTAATCACCGCTGCTCTTCTACCTACGTTACATCACTCGCTCTTCGTGCAAGCCGCGTAAGTAACTAAAATTAATTTATATCAGACACTAACACAACTAGCTTTATTGTTTATGACAAGTTCAGTGAGTCATGTGTTTTATTGTTGAGACACGTTGACAGCCGTCTGTTGTTGGTGTTGGCGGTTAAATAGTTTGCTAGATATTGTTTGAGCGTAAGGAGTTATTTAGCAAAGTTATTCCCGAGGAGAAGGAGGAGAACTCCAGTAATTGACGGTAGTTGGTGATAAATGTCGCTTGCATATCATTCGGTAAAGTTTTCTCTCAAGTGAGGAGAATCAAAGATAGGCAATGTGCAATCGTGAAAGGGTAATGCTTTTGGCAAACTTAGCTGCTAACCAGTTAATCCTCTTGACTGACGCTAGACAAATATGTTAGTCATTGTGGACGTCCTCAAAGCTAATCTCCGGGTTTGAAAGTTCGACTGTCGACTATCAACTGGACGTTTGATAGGCTAAT